GGTTTTCTTTGTCTTTATAGTACTTCTTTATTTGTTTTCTTTTTCGGTCGTTTGACTGTTCTTGTTGTTTATTTTTCTCAGGGTTAGATTTGACGTTGTCGCGACTGATCAAGATGTCACTCATTTGTTATTTCGTTATTCTTCTTTGTTTTGAATCATCGAATTCGATTTGAATATGCAGTCTGCGTTCACAATAGTTTTCTCACGATGTTTGACTTTGATTTACGTTTGTTGGTGGACATTTAATAATTTAATCATTTTTTGTTGTTCGTTTGTCGTAGCCGTCAGATCTATTCGTATTTATCCATTGTTCGAGTTTGTTTGGATCAATTTTTCATATTTTCCTTGTGTGGGCTTTATATGATCTTAAGTGACTAATTTATTATGTTAATTATTAAAAAAATATCTTAATTATGCATTTAGTTTATTATACTAATTATAAATAGTCTCTGTAATTTAAAATATTTTTTCTTAATAAAATTAATAGTTTCTGCTTATGTTAAAAATAAAATAAAATCTATATGTCATTCATTCAATCATGTTTTTAAATTTTTTAACTCCACTAATAGAAGTAGTGTATAGAATAACTTTTTTTATTTTAATATGTAATGGTTCCAGAAAAAAATTAAGTTATGTAAACTATTTTATTTTATTAAAATGAAAGACTTTCCCTTCAGTCTTTTTAAAATTGCTGAAATTATAAATTAGAGTTAATTTCATCATATGTCCCTATATTATATTGATCTTCAAATTATATTGCTCATTTTAAATTAATCCTTAAACTTTTGAACATATCAAATTCATTCCCAAACTATAACTCTCATTCTATATTGATCTCCAGACTTTTAAATATTCTAATTTCAACTTTGAAGTTTTGAATGATTTAGGGGGTTATCAATGGAATGTTCAAAAGTTTGGGGACTAATTTAGAGTAAGAGTCATAGTTTGAGGATAAGTTTGGAATGTTCAAAAGTTTAGGGACCAATTTAGAATGAGAGTCATAATTTAGGGATGAAATTAAAATGTTTAAAAGTTTAGGGAGTAATTTAAAATAAGAGTCATAGTTTAAGGATGTATGTTGCAATTAACTCTAGAAATTAATATAACAATAAAATTGCACTTTAACCCCTAAGAAATTAAAATTCTATTCTAGCCCCCTGTAAAATATGTTTCTAGAGGGTATCGAGGTCCACTTGCTCGATCATCTCCAGCAGCTGCGGTGGCTGATACATAATAAGCGACGGTGAAGAGTCCATGAGCCAAACATAGAATTCCTCCAACAGTGAGAAAGGGTTTGGGTTCGCAGCATTTGCTGGCTGCATTCGCCATCCCTTCGATCAGCATTGTCAATCCAACTGCTAATATTATCCTGTTCATACGACACCTCTTTATGTGTACGAAAACTTCTTTAAAAAAAACTAATCATATTCGTATCGGATACATATTTATATCCGATACTCGTACTCGAATCGAAGAACGTAAGAAAAGGCATACCATGAGAAAATGTGGGAAGCCGCTGCCAATCGTTTCTTGGCAGATGCTTTGTTTAAGTCATCCTCTGTGCAAATGCAAATGCAACCAGCGAAACAGTTCCCACAAATTTGGGCAAGGAGAAGAAGTACTGATGCTGCAAATCCTAGCAGGAAAGCTACTAAACCACATAGATCAATGTCATCCTGCTCACCCGAACACTCCTGTTAAAAAAAACATATACAATAAGAGATGGATTTAAGATTTTATGTTAAAGGTCGAACTTATAATATTTTAACGTACATCTGTTTGATTTCCAGCCGCAATGCCGAGTATACCTGCAGTAGTGTCCAAAACCAGGATCAACAAACAAGCCAAAAACTCATACAACGCCATGTTCTACCATAATAATCTAGCATGGAACACCGATGAATATGGTTTGCAGATATATGTGGGTGAAAGGGAAGGCCCCCTTTATAAGGGCAAGTTGCGTTCTTGATGAAGAGGAGAATACGAATAAAAGATGACAGTTTTGGATTAAAGGCTGCTTCTTTTTTGCTCATACATCAATGTCTTCCTTCTTAGATTCATATTCCTTTCATGGATGACAAGAAAAGTAGATTTTGAGAGACACCGATGGATGCAAGCGATGTGTTATAGGGTCTTGAATTATGTTTTCAACGGCTAATGGTACCGAAATTTCGAGTTCTTTTTAACTGATGAATACGAACAAGATGGTAAATACCAGTGCAAATGGTACAGGTGGGACAATACATGATATTACACGTGGGACAACACATTACGAAAAGTATAGGTGTTCGGTGGGTCTCGATCATGAAAGAAACATTTCTCTAGAACCATCTATAAACTTCACATAGAGATTACAGTCATCATTTTATCAAATCCAATTAAGAACCAACCTACAAATGCTCTGGTGTTAATGCATTGAGTTTGATATTTAAAATCAATTACATTTTGTATATCAACTGTAATGATGTCTATTAGCTGTTTTTAAATCTGTCTTAAGTTCAGTGTTTCTTTTATATTAATGTTTGACAGTTGTAATATTTCATATTATTGTGTTTTCAAATCCTTTTTTAGTGAAAATGTTGGAATGATGTGAGTGTGGTTGGAAACATCTCCATCTTTGTTCAATCCATTTATCTTCTCTCCTTTTTTTTTCTTCATATTTTTCTTCCTCTATTTTAAAAATAAATTTGCAGCAGAATACATTTACAATTTGATGATAAAATCTTGGGAATTCTTTCATTTCTTTTCCCATAAACTTAAAAAAAAACAGAGTGACAAAAATGTCGTCGTATTATAGATGGAAGAACTTCTAGGAAGACGACACACCCGAAAAGCCTCACCATTTTGTGAAACAAGTGATTGACATGGCTCACCAGCATGATGTTTATGTTAGTACTGCTGATTGGGCTGAACATATGATTCGTAAAGGTCCTTTTAAATTTCTATTCTATCCCCCCCTAAAATATGTTTCTAGAGGGTATGGAGGTCCACTTGCTTAATCTTCTCTAGCAGCTGCGATGGCTAATACATAATAAGCATGAGCGAAACATAGAATTCCTCCAACGGTGAAAAAAGGATTGGACACGAGGGATGCATACTCCATCCCTATGATCAGCATTGTCAACCCAACTGCTAATATTATCCTGTAAGAATTTATGTATTTATATTCGACACTCACTCGTACTCGAGTAAAGAATATAAGAAGAGGCATACCAAGAGAAAATGTGGGATGCCGCCGCCAATTGTTTCTTAGGGGATGCTTTGTTTAAGTCTTGCTTTGTGAAAATGCAAACGCAACCGGCGTAACAGTTGACACTAAGTTGGGCAAGAACAAGAAGTACTGATTCCGCAAGTCCTAGCAGGAAACCTACAAAACCACAGAGATCAACGTCCAGCGCCTCCCGCCTACACTCCGCCTGTTAAAAAAAAACATACATCATCAAGAAAGAAGAACAAGGATGCTGCAATTCTCTTTAGTTACACTATAACTCCCACAACATACATCGGATTGCTTTCTCGCCTCAATGCCAAGTACCCCTGCAGTAATGTCCAAAGCCAAATAAATTAAAATCTCATAAAATGCCATGTTTTACCATGCTAATCTAGCATGGAACACCAATGAGTACGGCTTGCGGATTATCTGTCGGTGAAAGGGAAGTTCCCCTTTATAAGGCCAAGTTGCATTCTTAATGATGAGAATACGAATAAAAGATTACAGTTTTGGATTAAAGGTTGCTTCTTTTTTGTTCATAAATTATTTGTTTTCTTTATTCTTTCCTTCTTTTTAAATTCATATTCCTTCCATGGATGACAAAAGAAGTAGATTTTGAGAGACATTGATCGATGCATGCAAAGTGTTATAGCTTCTTTTTAACTGATGAATACGTTTTGAATTTATCCAAGGAAAAAGATGATAGATACTAGTGCATGTGTGAAGCACACGTACATCGTAACCTTAAGCTTCGGATTAGGGTTGTAAACGAACCGAGTCGAGTTAAAGTTATTGTTGAGCTCGATTTGATTCGAAAACTCACGAATTTAAATTGTCAAGTTCAACTCAAACTCAAAAACAAAACTTGAAGCTCAACTCGAGCTCGAAAAAACTTAAACTCGAAATATTCTCGGACTTATCTTGATTGAAGCTCAAACTCTAGCTGAAAAAAACTTGAACTTGAAGCATTTTTAAACTTAACTCAATTGAAGCTCAAATTCGAACTCGATTCAACATATAAACGTTAATATTATTAGTAATTTAAATTTTTCAAAAAATAAAAACTTGATATATTATTTTAAGCCTAACGTGGAAAACAGGGACTTAAGCCTAAGAGACGGGGAAAATGTAGTAGCAGAAAACTGATGAAGTACTCTGGCTTTCATGGAGCCATCCAACAATATATTTGACGATTTGATGTCATGGTGCACAACCGGAGGAACAGCCTGTTATGTGTAACTATATCCACTTAAAAACTGTAGACCCTAAACGTTCAATTAGTACACGAGGTCCGGTGGGTGAAACATGAATCGGAAATTACACCGTAATGAAGACACTCCAAACCCCCTATCCACGTCCAGATCTATCTGAACCCTCAAGTTCCAATTCGGGGGCTCATGCTTTTCATCTGTATTTTGCATCATTTCACATTGTTGTGGATTACCAAATCAGGATAATATCTGGTAATGCAAAGGTATTTGATTTCTGGACTAAGTATGCATGTTTGTAGGTAATCAGGCGCAAATGATTTTAAACCTTGAATCTCTTTTCTTGAACATGCTCATTCTTTGTAACAAACGACCTGCAACATATAAAGATACATTTTTCATCGAAGAATCTATGGTGAAGATTCAGCATGCGTGGGAGACGATAATCAATCATCTGAACTATTTTTCTTTCAAGGTATTTCACATGGTGACCTCAAATACTACATCTGAACTATTTTCTTTCAAGTTATTTCACATGGTGACCTCAAATACTATGTACCTCAATCCAGATATGATTTATCTTTAAGAAGACAAGGAACTCAGCTTTTTTACCAGCATTTTGGGCCTCCGAAATGCATCCAAAGCCTCGGTTTGTTTGCCTGACCTTTTCAAGTTTACTGCCTTAACCTTTTCTGCCTTAATCCGCTCTTCTAATTGGATTCTCTCTGGGTCAACATTTTCACTTTTGGCAGCACTCGGTTTTACGAGCTCTGATCTTTCTGGGCGATGAGCCAAAACATTAGGATCATCCAATCCAATTGCTTTCAGGGCAGACAAAAGTTGAGGATCGAGAAGATCTTCAACAACTACATCATCTACTGGTTCTGCCCCAATGCTAGAAGACCTAGGTGAATCATGAGCACCCAACTCTTCCAACTGGGCTTCAAGAGACTTAGCTAATTCGAATGCAGCTTCTGCTTCTTGCATTCGACCTTCTCTTCGCAGCTTCAAAGCCTTGCGTTTATGACTGAGGGATTCCTGTTGCAACTTGAAGCGATCACGCCCAGACAGTGGTTTTGTAGCCAAAGCTGATGTACCCTCTTTTGCTGTATCAGAGCGAAGGGTGGATGTAGATGTTGAGGCATCACGGGCACCAAATTTTGGAGTGCCATCTTCTACCGTACTCTTCTCCAACAGCTTTGCCTGTAGGAGTTCTTCCCGAGCCTCAGCCATTTTTCCTTCTCTCTTCAAAGCAAGTGCCTTCTTCTTGCGAGACAACACTGCATGCCTTAGAAAATCTTGGCTGTTCTGAGAAGTAAATCCCTGAACTGAACTCACATCAAACAAATATGCCTTTTGCTTTCCATTAACCACTCTACTTTTTCCAGTGGTATCTTCATCCTTGGTAGTAAAATTTTCTAGCGAAGGCAATTGAACATCGGGTATCTGTGAACTTGTCAGGTCATCGCCAGCCAAAAGATCCACTACGCTTGCAGAATGGTTAGATGAAGGGGCGAACTTGATAGTTGCCAACTTTTCCCTGACCACCTAGAAGTCTCGCTACACCTACAGGATCCCATTTTTCCACCGAGGGTTGGTTTTCTGCTAGTGGAGTGGAGGTTGAGAAAATAACACGTCGGAATTCCTCATAGTTGAATTATCTGTATCACTTCCACTCTTCCGAAAGCCATTGATGCTTGCAGAAATGTTTCACTTGGTCCCACCACCCCTGCAACTGGCCTTTTCTTTACTATCACTTCATTTTTCCAATTCCTCAGCCTCTCGTGGTTAGCAAATGATTCAAAGTTCCTAGATTTACTGTCCTTGGATGAGTCATGCACAAGCTCACATTTTGAAGCTTCCAGTTCTGCAATTTCAGCTTCTAGTACCTTTGCCCTCTGCAACAACTCCTCAGCCTCTTCAACTTGCCCATTTCGTCGAAGAGAAAGAGCATTTCTTTTCAAACCCAGAAGTTCTCTTTCGATTTCCCCTTCTTGGCGGTGAAAGTTGAATTCCTGAAGAGGGTCGATTGCTGGATGGATGGCCAGAACATAAAGACTCACGGGAAAGATTTTTAGAGTCCTCTTCTTTCATAGTTACAGGTTGAACTTCTTCATCTTTCCAACCCAAATTCTTTAGCATCGAGAGCATAGCAGGATCAGTCATATAATCCTCTGTAACATTCTCCTCCTCTTCTTCTTCTGTAGATCCTTTACGGGCGGGAGAAGTGACTTTTTCTTTTGGAAATATCGATTCACCCACTTTCTTTGGTGCCTCTATCTCTGTCATCTCAGCCTCTAACGCTTTTTCTGTTTCCAGCTCTTCCTCTGCCTCATCAATATTTCCTTGACGCCTCAGAGAAAGAGCTTTCCTTTTCAAGCCTAATAGCTCCCTCTGTATTTCAGCTTTAGTTCTCCTTGACGCCTTAGCTTGGATTTTAGAAGGGGCATGAATAGAAGAAGTTTCAATAATTTGCTCAGAATCTTTTTGTTTAGCACGTTTCTTAAGATTGAAAGGTACGTTGGATCATGCATGTCTTGATCTGTAATGTCTTCTTCAACAGGCAGACTTTCTGATACATTAGGATGCTCGTGTTTCAAATCCTTCCCCTTACTGCAATTAGTCACATGTGCAGCTTTCTCCATTTCTTCAAGCTGCTGCTCGAGAATCCTTCCCTTCTGAAATTTATAATCTGCTTCATCCAAGCTTACTTCCCTTCTCAAAGCAAGGGCTTTCTTCTTCAAACTCAGAAGCTCTTTCTGAATAATCAATTTACTCTTCGATGCAAGTTTCAGATTCACACCTTTCATAGCATTATCATTTTCATTAGCTGTTGAATTCTCTGGCTGAGAATCGAAACTTTCAAGGTCTTTCTCAAGTACTTTTGCCTTCTTTAACTGAGCCATTGCCTCCGCAACATTACCTGCCTGCTTTTGACTAAGAGCTTCTCTCTTTAGTGAAAGAATTTCATTTAGCAGTGCCTCCCTTTTGACGGGAGCAGATTGCGCCATATCGTCTTCAATAGGATTAGAATCTTCAGTCCAACCTAGTGATTTCAGAGTAGCAGCTATTTCTGGATCCTCCATATCCTGATCAGTTACTTCAAGATTACTATCAATACCAAGATCTTCAGCAGCTCCTGAAACGTAATCAAAGTCAAGGCTTTGCATATGCTCATTCTGAATTAAAATTTCATCTTGTTTATCGTTGTCCATACTGCGGATTATTGCAGATAGCTCATCATCAGAATCTTCAGCGCCAACCAACAGTTCTTGTTCTTCGAGTTGCTTGACTTGCTTCTCTAAGACTTTAGCTCTCTTCAATTCTTCCTTCGCTTCTGCAAGCTTCCCTTCACGCTTCAGCAAAAGATCCTTTTTCTTAATGGCAACAACCTGGGTCTTGTCCGTGCCATGGCCATTATTAATCTTATTCGGAATTTCTCCAAGAAGAGAAGAAATTTCACCATCCAAACTCAATTTTTTGGACTTTTTATTATCCTCATGTAAATCCATATCAGACCATCCCAATTCCCTGAGTTCAGCAGCTAGGTCATCCTTATCCCTACCCACCGGATTATGGACCTTGTTTTTTCTGCCGGATTCTTCAGGGATTTCTTTATTGAGGATCCTGGACATGTTGCCGGATTGCAAACTTTTTTAATTGTTTTTTCTTATAGTCGTCTCCAAAAATCCAGCCTGCCTCTCTAGCTCCTTCCCTCTCTTAAAGGCTCTAAGAGCTTCCTCAGATTTCCCTTCTTTAAGAACCGTATGATTCCTTCTTTCTTCCAATGCTTGCGTTGCCGGCGCAATGTCTCGGGACTGATTGACGCCATATCATTCTGCATACACTGATCAACAGACTGACTTTCATGCATTTCTCTTCCCCTATCATGACTGGCAACTACTTGCACATCGGAACGCATAGCACCCCTAATTCCATTTGAACACCCGAAGTCCTTTCATTGTTTGAAGTTACTCCCGATGAAGATGATTCCTTTCCGTCAGCCACTACAATCCTCTTCAAAACGTCATCCTCATCTTTTACAGCTGGTTTCAAACTACCTGCTCAAAACCACTTAACGGTTCAATATTAAAGGTATTCTGTAGTGATAAGTCACAAAGAAACGAACCATGAAAACACTTATGTGATGACCAAAAAAGAAATTATACCTCTCCCAGTTCTACTTTTGCTTCCATGTCGCAACTCGAATCGAGCAGCCTCTTCGAGCTTTTTACAAGGATCGCAAACGCGAACGGACGAATCACCATGTCCATGCAAAACCATTCTCTGCTGAGAGCAACTATTGCAAAATATGCGCCCACACCTTCGGCAGTGATGCTGATAATTCAGTGTAAAGACCATCAATAACAATAGGAATAACAATCACAAAATAAATCATACATCTTCCTTCACTAAGTAACCAGCAAAGAATCTCAAATTCCAATTATCAAAATACAGTCAATTCTATATATCCAGAAATACTTGCAGTAAACTAAAATAATGAAATTTCAAGCATAATTGTAACCATGAAAGAAAAACTACATATTTTGATAAATGGGTATTGAATTAGAGAGAATAAAGAAGGGATCAAAAGTAAAACCTTGCGATTGATGAAAGTGAAGAGAGAAGAACATCCTTGGCAATGTGAAGCATCAACCTCCCAAGTAGTCCCTCTAAATCCGATCTTCCACAACATCTCCGTTCTTTAATTCAAAAAAATCAAAATAGAAAGAATGTTTCTGCCTATGCTATTCTTTTTCTCTTTGGGTTCTTATTACAATTTCTGGGTAGATTTTCCGCGGAGAGATGAAGCCAAAATATTGCAAGTCCATGTACTTATATACAGGGGAAAGGTGTCTTGCAAAAATAATTGATGGCATTATTCTTCAACTTTAAATTATAAAATATTACAATAAATTAAATTATAAATTCTATCTCCTGATTTTGATCTTATAATTATTTTAGTCATTATTTTTTTTAAAAAATATTTATTTGATTTTAGTTATTGTTTCATTTTTGTTGATTCATCTTTAATTATTGATATTATAGTAAATTAATTATCTTTTAAAAATTATGAAAAAGATTAATATTTTTATATTTATGAAAATACTCCTAGAATCTTTCTTCACAAATTTCTAATTTATTTTTAAATTGTTGATTCATCTTGAATGAAGAAAATTATAGATCAGAATCATTTCTTTATAAATTTTGAATTAAAGTTTTATAAATTTAATTTAAATTAAAAAATTAAATAAATAGAATAATAAAATATCAAACAAAAGAATATTGCATTTACATTAGTTGGGTTCATCCTTTACAAATATTAACCATCTTTCAAGAACACAGTTTTGGTAAGAATCTAGCTTTATTCCCAAGACTGGATAATCTTGTTCTTGGAACATTTCCTATCTGAGTCTGCATTATCCACGGTATTCTCCAGTTCTGTTACCCTGCGTTGCATTCCTTGCAGCTTAACATCGAGTTGATCAGCTTTACTGTCAAGGTTGATTCTTTTTGCATACAAAAGGATTTGATCGGAACTCGCCTTCTCGTCCACACTTTCCTTCCCAAAGATTGGACCGGTAAAGGTGTCACTGTCGAGGTGGTTTTGCCCATCGAACAAGCTTTCAAGCTTGGACTGTTGATTAATGTAAACTTGTATTGCTATTCTTGAAGGGAATTTCGAGTTCCGAGCTAAGTGTCTCAGTGCATCTGTTGAGAGCTTTGCATAATTAAGTGCAGAGCAGATTCTCATTTTCTTTGCCTCACATAGTCCATCATGAACCTGTTCAGAAATTCCATCAGTCAAGTAATTCCAGTTTTCGGATTATTAACGATCTTAGTAACTAAGAACAAATCTCATTCCAACATAAGCAATCAAAATAGAATAGCATCTGCCTAAAATTTTATAAATCTAAAGTGATTCAGGGTTAGCAATACCTCTAGATAAATGTCTATGGCTTGAAAAAGCCTATCATGGGATTCTCTTGCACCATCTGGGAGCACCATGACTAATGCTGCAAACTTGGAAGGGTTCAGGTGGGAATCTGCAGCCACTTCCACAAGGAACGAGTCGACCAAGCTAGCAACTCTTTTTAATCGCATGGCGGACATGAAACAACTTCCTTCTTTGCAAAATGTTTTCACCAGCCTCATAACCAGATTCACATCATACACATAATCTCTCCTGTGTGGGGATGGGAGTAGCAGAAAATCTATAGTTGCTTGATCCAGTTGCAAGCCAATAAGATTTTCCAAAATGGACTTGCAATGTCTGCTAATTTTCAAGCTTGAAGCGACTCGAAATATACCGAATAAGAGCTTGAAAGGAAGGGAGCTCTTATTAAGCAAAGAGAGCAGGTTGATTGTAACCTCTATGATTTTGCACTTTTCAGTTAGGCTGGCACTAAGAAATCTCGACCTTCGATAACATAAGAGGAACTTACTAACCGTATCATGATCGATATTCCGGCTTATCATCGTTCTTATTAACTTATAAATCAAATCAATGTTCAAAAACAGAAGATCCTCAAACCACCAAGATATTTGAGGCAAACTGTTTCTGATCCTCAAACTGGAATTCTCTAAAGACGATGCATAAGGGCTTGCAACAACCAGAGAGCCAAGCCTTTCTACAACACAACTGAGGACCTTATCAAGTATCGACGAAGAATTCGAAGCAGAAAGTAAATCTTGGCACTCTTTCAAAGCTACAAGTAGCTCATACCAGGTCCAGAGACCAACACCATCCAGAGACTTTCTTGTTTGGTTTAACAAGCAAGCCCTGGGGCCATCATCACTCTCCATCTCTATATATTGCACAGCTAAATTTAGTAGGACTACATCGGTGGGAGTTATCTCAGTTCTTCCCTTGTTAAACCAAAACCTTGCCACTAGCTCAAAAACCTTATCTCCCTCTTGAAAGTCATGAAGTACCACTTTCAGGTTCTTTGTGTCATCCATCAAATCACCTAACAAATTTGCTGAATCACCAGAGAAGGATGCAAGAGTCCTCTGCATGGTTAATGAAAAGAAGAAACATTGTATGATATTTCAGTTCGCTTTACACCAAAAGGCAAAGCAGTTACCAACTCAACAAAAAAAATATGAAAGTATAAGTGTGTCAAATAGTATCAAACAAACCTATAGAGAAAATGAAAGAATCTTGCATTCTTAGGCAATTGTGTTGAGAGTTGCTATCTACAATAAATTTAAGAGTGGTCCTGTTTCTTATGTAATCTAGTGGGGGGACCAAGATCCTTGGTGAAAGGAATAGATTACTGAAACCAGAAGAATCAGAAAATAAGGCATAAAAAGAGAGTACAAACTAGAGTAGTCAATATCCTTAAATCCTCCACAAGAAACAAGAAAAATAAAGGATTGAATGGTAAGCACTAAACAGTAACACTATTTAACTTGTCTACCATGAAACTTTTTCAGTTTCACCATTGACGTCCAATTCAAGATCACAGGAGAACAGAGTGGCATTGTCTTGAAAAAACAAAAGTAAAAACTGAGAACCCCACAAGAGTAAAAGGAGGTTTGTGGAGCATAGACAAAAAGAAAGGTGCTGTGTTCAAATAGGGGAAACTTTTGGGGTTTGTGCCAAACGAGGAGAATAAAGGACAGGAAGAATGATGCAGAGAGAAGGGAAAGTAAGAAATGTAGAAAAGTTGCTTGTATGAATAAGCTTCAGCTGAAACTGGTATGCTTTTGGTTGGTCAATGGACAATTGAGCATAAGAGACGAGATTTGTAAGCAGATACCAGAGGATTGGCTAGTGAGAAAGGAGAGAGGGCTTTTTTGAAAACTTCACAAACTTGGTACCTCTTAATTAACAAAGACAAGCTTGATTTTGCAAATTTGTACCCTTAGGATTCAGTACCAAAAATCTGACAAGCTTGGTATGTTTTCACGTTACTAACATTATCCTTAGGTGCTTAAGCATACATCTATTTCAGCCTGGTTAGACGAGCATTGAAATAAAAGTAGCAAAAATTTGGAATTACTTGAAAAAATGAAAGGGCATTGCAATTGATTTGGAGTGCCAGTTGATCTAAAATTTTCTTTTAAATGAAAAAAAAGAAATCAACTGCATGAAATCGTGAAGTCATGCAGCATAACTACAACCAATGACATCCTAAAACCATTTAGGTAGTTACTGGTGACACAATGGACTCCGGTTAAGGTAACAACCCTCTCAAATTTAGTAGCCATTTATCTGAGGCCTTGGAGTTGGACCCATCAGTCGAGAAAAGGCATTGGGCATGGCCGGGAAGAACCCTTTGTCCAACATGTCGATCATCTATTTTCTGATCCGAGAATGGTTTGGAAAAGGCTTGAGAAAGCTCCAATGCTGATGCTGCTTTTCCATAGCGCACACCAGCAGCTTCAGGAGAGACTAGTTTAGGCTCTATTTGGGCAGGTTTACGCCAGGTTTTAGGTGAAGGCTGTCTCTTCTGCTGCCGTCTTTCGGTTTCCCTGTCATTATGCCGGTTTTCATTACGCCAATTCCTCCTCTGCATATCAACTCTTTCTTTGTGAACGCCATGGTTCCTCTCAGATATGGTTTCCTCTCAGATTTTCATCCAGCTCCCTGATCAACAGGATTCCCAACTCTTTCACCATGGCGAGGAGCTGCTTGCTCAGCAACCTTTTCAATCCTTAGAACATTATGTTTGACCCTTCACATAACAATAACGATTGATGAAGACATGGTACATTAAGTTTCTAGCCAATTAGTTAACAGACCAAATAAGAAAGAAAAGAGCCAAAATGTCATATAACAGTACGAAATACAAGAAATGACTACCTATCAGGACATTGGCCCGGCTCATGACTGTTGTCATCAATCCCTCGCTCCTTCAGAACCTGAGAAACAGACCACAATACTTCAGGTACTATTAGAAAAACAAAATAATAATAATAAGTGTGAAGCTATAATAATAAATCAAACTATGTTGACATCAAAAAGATAGTGATGAAAAAAAAATCATTAAAACAATGCAGTAAGCAGACAGGAGAGATACTCACCAGTTCTCGTGGACGAGCACCACCAAACAACACACTTCTGCATCAGTAACACTTAGCTATTAAATACTAACATAAAGTGACAATTTTTCCAGAAAATAAACAAAACAAAACACCCTCATCCATCTAACAAGACTGCAGAAGTTGATAGGACACTTCCAATGCATAACTTTTGTCACTCACATATCTTAATAATTCTGTCCCTCGCCCTCAGTAAATTATCAATAACTATGATAAGAGAAATACACATCTATAACATACTCATACATAGTAACAATAATTTTAAATCTAGACACAAGCTGACCTTTCCTTCTCAATGTTACCCTTCAATTCTTCAGTGGGCTGTGAACAAGGCTTGAAATTCAGTTTAGGACGCTCCACTGTCTGGTTCCCATTCTCACTGCCAGCTGAACCAGGTTTTGAAATATTCACATGTCCATATGAATCATTACCAATTCCACCATGACCAATAACAGAATCAATTGACCACTGCTGCTCCTATTACAAGGATATTATAAAAATTAGGAGAGAACAAAATGAATGCAAGCTTCAATACAATAGCATCACATCAGATACCTGTTTAGCATCAACAACAGACGATTCTAGATTATCCAATGGCTTGGTGCGAGGAAGTAACTTCAACTTCGGCCGCTCAGATACATCAACAGGCGACTTAGAACTGCCAAATTTGCCATCTGCACGAATTGATTGAGTTCCTTCACTGTAAGTTACTGATTTATTTTCTTTAACTTCCGAATAGTTAGGAAAATGGCTCGTCTCGTAGTCTGGTAACGCCTTTCTACTAACCTGAACTCCATCTTTAATGTTCAGTCCCCTTTCAACCTGCCTTGCCAACATCACATCAGAATACTCCCTCCCAACCACAGCAATCATTCTGATGTATGTCTTATCATCATAACCCTGGAGATGCAAGCCATTTTCTGTTTCCGAGTGTTTAACATCAACATCTTTCTGATACAGAACAGATTGCTTTGACTGCCATCGACCTGAGGAAACCTTGCCAATAGCACTAGCATTAGCCAACTTTGAGACAGCGCTTTGTTCACCACTAGCAACACTCACAGTCATCACCTTCCTAGCTGCCCATGCATTAGGATACAACCCAGAAGAAGCCTGCCTATGGTTACCCCCAGAACTCTGAGAACTCAGGCCAATCACAGCAGCCTCAGACACTCGAGTAGAGTAGAGATTCCGCGAACCACTCGACATTGGAGCTACAGGAGCTAACACATATTGACCCGAAACCCTCCCTGCATAAACAGACTCCGGCTTCATCTCCAGATGACTAGCTGGAACCCCTAAACTCTCATCAGTAATAGTTCTACGAGGGGCAAAACCCCCATCTAAGGGCTTCCTTTCATCCTCATCAAAATAACGACCAATATGAACTGAACTGGTAAGAAATGGAGTTTTATCATCAAAATGCCTAGTTGCAGGTGACGAATTCGGCCGTGCAAGATGATCAGGCCGCCCTACCGGGTTTCCCCACAATGTAGCTCTATCATAAACTGAACGATCGGCAGGCCTAACAGTTCTGTACTAATAAAATTCGATATTAAAAAATCAAGGTCTCACTAGCAGATCCAAAGGGTTATCAGATCTAATAAAAAGGATCTTATGAATTAAAAAATCTATACTTGCAAAATATATATATTGGAAATATAACAGGAAAGGATAGGTAAAATGAGAAAAAGAAATATAGAAGAATGGAGAAGAGGAGGGGGTTGCCTCTTACTCTATGTTTTCTCTACTATACAAACATGTGCTTATTATATGATCGTTATTGAAAAAATACTTAGGACACTCGCGATTTATATGATTAATAATTATTTAAAAAATACTTATTATAAAAATAAATATCTTGAAAAACATTTTAATGTATAAGAAATTTTCGTTAGAAATATGTGCTTAACGTTACAACCGTAATTACTTTAGGTACCTGTGTCATAGCCGCCATTAAATTTGGTCATTAAAAGACATATGTCATGTTAGTATAATTTTGACAATTTTATTTAAAATTAAAAAATTAAAATCATATTTTAAAAATTTAAAAAAATAATCAAAAAATTGAAAAAATCTTCAGTCCCCTTCTCCCTTTTCTCTTCCTCCTTCCCCAAAATAGAGCAACCACGAAGGCAATGGAGGTTCGTTGGTGGCGTAAATCGCCGCCACCAACAGTTTCTCCGGCATCTCACGACCCCACCCTCGACCAGCAATCACTCAAATCGATCGTCGATCATCACAAAACAGTAAGAAACCGTTCGTTATCCCTCACCGTCGAACCCTTCTCCGACCAACCGTGATCGTCACCGCTTCCACCAGTGAGAGTGTCATCTCACGTCGAGAAAAGCCCAATTGTCCCCTCGTCGAGTAATGCTATCGTTCGCCGTGGAGGAAACTTCAGTGAAAACCCAACCCAACCGTCAGCCACTATTTTCGACGACTAGGACCGATCCCAACGATCGTGAACCTCACCGTCGCTTTTGTTGAAGTCCCAACAGAGATGGCATTGCGGCGACGAAGATGGTGATCAGAAATGGCCGGCCGACGGCTACTGAAAATGAGTGAAATTATAGATTTTGAGGTTTTTGGACTTATTTTATAATTTTAAAAAACTTTGGGTTTTTCTTATAAACAAATTAAGTTTTCCTTTAAATAATATTTTATTTAAAAAACATGAAATAAAAAAATATAATAATAGACACCTAAAAATATAACAAAAAATATGTTAGACATTTATTTTTAATAATTTTTTTTAAAACTAATTTTTTTTAGATACATAATTTAAACATTTATTTTTATATTAAATTTTAAAAGTAATTTGTGATGCTCGAAAAAACACTTTCATACGTACGATATTATTTATGTCACAATCACATCTTTTAAGAACCAACGTCAAAATTACTGCCGTTGCTACGCTTATCGTAAGACAAAAGACAACAAATAAATATAGAAACAGACGACAGAACTAGAATTTCCTCATGAACGTTGTGAAGCACGTGCATAGCAAAGTTCATTTTTGTCCCTTTTTCTTCTTCTCTTCGTTATGATTAAGGGCAATCAAGATGGAAAGGCTCGATCAGAACAGAGAGGATATGGCTTCGAGTCTGTTGGTCTTGAACGCCGAATCCATCGCCAAATTGATAGAGGCAATGCACCATGCGCGCAACGTTAACCGTCACCTTCACAAACGAACTCGGCACCAGCAAATCAGGTGATCGACTCCTCAAACATTGCCGGTTTATTTTCATCCATGTCTTGCTTATCATCTTCTTAATATGTCCCTCAGCTTCTTTCTCTGAGACGTTCATTTCTCTCATGTAGCAAAGGATAGACGATGGAGCATCCCCTCTCTCTTTCTCCGTCTGTCAAAAATATCAATCCCGTATCAATTAAGTTCTTCAAAACGATAATTAAAACGTTTTGAAATTACCGTTGAAGTTCCCAAGTCGTTGCAAAGTCGTGTTATGATGGAAATATTGTAGACAAGATCTTCACTTTTTCCCAACAAATCAATCATTTCATCAGTCCCCAAGGAAAGCATTGAGTGGACAGAAATCACAGTGCCTCCTGATGAAACCAATGCATTGCTCAGGTACTCTTCGAGGGAAGGACTGTATCCTTCATTATACCACTTTGCTTCCACAAATAATGCTTTACAGAATCCTGTCCACTGAGAAAAACATGATCCAATTTAAGATCCAAATCACACAAAAATGGCATTGATTTTTGATACACTACCGCTTTCCTCAGATGAAGTATTGCTTGAACATTCCAACCGTTCAGCTCTTGAATGTCATAAGCAATTTCATTGGTGATATCGTGTAGAGCTTGGAAGCATATCTTCATACACTCCGGCAGCTTCTGAATTTTGCTTGAATCCCACCTGAATTTAAGATGATTTGCGTAAGAGACATGTTTTACAAACATGAAATGTATGTATGCATGTATGTATGTATGTATTTCACCTATCAACAGCTTCTGTGAATTGTTCTAGCTCTTGTAAGGAACCATAAACATCATAAACATCATCTATTATCAATATCATGGTGGTGATCTTAGTGAGGCATTTTCTGAAACAACTATATTGAGGTTCATAAGCAAGTCCAACTGCACAGAAGAAACTTTCTGCTAATCGATCCCTTGTGAAGTTCAGATGTTCCATTATCCCAAGGTTCCTCCACCATCTGCAATATGTAATATATTAGTTCCATTTGCACGCATGTGTCATGAGATTGAAAACAGCAGTGTTTTACCTGGAAATTTCCCTTAGGTCCTTCTGAAGCGTGGCTTGGACGCTGTTGAAGTTAAGTTTAGCCAATTCAAGTAACCGTTTGTCTACGTTTTCGTTGTTCTCGTACACAGCAATACGCCATTTGACGTCAAACCACTGTACTCTCCAGTGTGTCGAAAGCTCCAAAGCATGAGCAACTTCCTCGGCTGTGTTTGTATCCAGTGTGAATAAATGTTCATAAGAGCTTCCCTTGAGAAAGTTTTAGCTTCATCCATACGTTTTCATCTTCGAAAGCTAGAAACGAAGCTTCGTAAAGCTCAAGCAATCCCTTGATCTCAGTGCATTTAGTTATTGAAAATGCACCCTTGAACACATCTGAGCATATTCATGACAGTTAGATCATAGAAAACATCATTTCAAAGCATTAAAAAAGATACTGGGTATACACATGCCTTGTGAAACATCGTAGCCATGCAGCCTGAGGAGCTTGAAGCGTAACGCAATTATATAGAGATCTTCTTCACCATTTTTGGTCTTCTTGTTGGAAGATAGTACAGCTTCTAAAGCTCTCTGAGTTTCATGTGGAAACAGGTCCCCGAGACCTAGTTTTGTGATAATGTCAATCAGCTCCAACTTGGCTAACTCTTCGTGAGTTTCCACAAACATTGCCTTCACTTCCTCTCTTAACTTCTCAGCCCTTAACTTGTACTCCACCCCCTGCCAAAATATTAGAACGGCTGATATCAAATTTTCAGTTATTCAGATTAATTTTTTTATATTAAAGGTAATGAGTTATTCGGTTTTTTCGAATTTGGCTGGAATTAAACTTTTATAATTCGAATATTCGGGAAACAGACTAATAAATTGATCTATATACCTATTGGTAAAAGTAAGGAAATGATATACGAGGTAACTTATTTTTTGAAAAATAGGGGTGGTTATGAATTATTTTAGGATTTAGATCATTTGTTACAGTGCACGTGAAACACGTCACGTGGGTGTGATGAGTTTTATAAAATATATTAAAAATAGAACTCGTTACAGTGGCGTGACAAGTTTCATATAATTTTGTTCTATATCATATGACGAGTTCTATTTTTTAATATATTTTATGAAACTGATCACATAGGCATGGCGAGATCCACGAACATTATAGTAAATGGTATAGACCTCAAAATAAATTTGAATATACCTTATTTTTATAATTAATTATTCTTCTTACATTATTGACCTGATTTTCTCGGTACCTATTCGGTCATTATTTAAAAATAAACAAATTTGTCTCTTTAAAAAATCAAAATAATCATCAAATTTTTTTAAAAAAATTATAAATCCATAAGTTTATAAAATATTTATTATAAAATAGAAAAATTACACCTTTATAAAAACGATAAAGATGTATGTATCATTACGTTAAAATTTCTAAATTATTCTCAAAATAAATTAAGTCATAGATTAATTTATTCTTGAGTTAATTAAATTTTACTAAGTTTAAACATTAAACAAGTAAATTATCAAATCTAGTTTATCATATTAAATTTTAATTTTTTTCTTATTTTTCTTTGAAATAAGATTTTACACATATGCTCTCTAATTGATGTGCTTTGACATAAAATTTATTTAGATTATCAATAAAGTTTTAATTTGATCTATTTAATTTTTTAATTTAACTCGAACAAATGTATTGGATTCTACTCAACTCAAATTTTTTAAAATAAACTTGACTAAAAATATTTCAAATAAGGTTTAATTAATAAATAAAACTCATCAACTCCACTAATATCAAAATCCGTCACCGATTGTCAAACATGTATTTATGATTGTACTTATCTTGAATGCTAGAAATGGATTATATATATATATACACACACACTTACACTATGTGTTTAGTTTTACATTTTTTAAAATCATTTTATTTTATATTGTTAATCACGACGGTCTATTTGTAAAACCCTAACAATCCTAAAAAGATTCAAAACTAAAAAAAGTTACTTGATACGAAAGAATCAGGTCTCATATAGAGAGAGAAAGAAAGGATTTGAATGGAATGGAATGAATCTCACATCATATCGGCTTCGAAGGGATTGTAAGAGATCATATTTCCAAATGTTGGGCTTATAATTTGCAGATCGCCTTTGTTGGGTCACATCAGAACGTTGAAGCTGCTGATCCGTCTGCAATTGGCTACTGAAATCCATGGAGACGGTCACTTGTTGTATCACTTGTGAGGAAGAAGATGAGTGATTTAGGTTGATTTCTAAACTGCATGTTCATGTGCCTATTTAATATCGGGGCTTAGGCCCATGCTACTGACACACGTGAAATACGATGATGTCCTTACTAGTTGTGGTCAAAATATGTTCACTTCAACTAGAAAGTGACTAATGATTTTAACAAAAAAAAAATAATTCCACCTATGATTATATTTAAGCCACGTCTTTTTTCTTTTTTTCATCTATGACCAGTTCACAAACTGGTCAACTTATTGAACACCTAGTCTGCTCGTTAAGGAAAGCTGTACGTAATCAACTCTTTAACTACCACATATGAGAAACGTGTCTTCGGATGGTTAATTGAAACATAAAAGATTGACGTAAGCTAAATAAAACTGTTGACGTCATAATATTAAAAATCCCTTTTTTTAATATTTAACGAACAATTGTTTTAATCTCAAAATTTTAATTATGAATATCATAAGGACAAGTCTACGCCATGGCGAGTTTCTTATGTTACTCCATGACGAACGTTAATTAAGTTCTTAGGTTAATTTACGATTTATATTCTATATTTATTTTACCATTTATATTCAGAATTTATAATTATTGTTACATTTATGAATTATATTCAAAATTTATAATTTTTATTATTAAAATATTATCTCAAAATTTTGAACACCACTCTTTCCATTTATTATAAAAAGTCAAGCATTTCACTTGAAATGCTTTAAATCTAGATGGACCACATTGTATGAAACATTCATTGTACCATACCGAAACGAGAGCAGGTGCACTGTAATTGATTAATATGTGTAATATTATGTGCATCACGTTCTTTTAATGTGTATAAGAAGTTAAGTATTTTTTGTCCTTGGTAGGAAGTTATATGTGTACTATTATGTGCGTCACGTTCTTTTAATGTCATCAATGACTGACAATTGATAATTAATATATATTTAAGTAGATTATATTAAAAAATTTTTATTTATAGGATGTTATACGCACAGTGCTATCATTTTTTGAGCACTATACAATGATTAAGATGTAATATTTGTTCGGATTTTTCTTAATTAATTAATAACATACATTTTGCAGACGTAACTACTTGAATTCAAGATCTCTAAAAAAAACCTTCCCTTTTGTCTTTAAGATCACTTGACAAATTTTATATTGAATAAATAAAATTTGTTTGTTTAAATTATCCATTGTAAGTTGTGTTTGATTATATGCTCGTGACATATATAATAAGTAATAATTATATGTCATTTATTATTGTAAAAGAATTAGTTTAAATTAAGGTTTAATATGATTAAAGTTGATCAAGCTTCAATTATAATATAGAGTTTGAGTCAAATATGTGTAGACATTCAAATAATTAATTTCTCATTGATAATAATCTGGTTAAAAATTAAGATTAATGTACAAAATTATTTATTAAGGTTATGACCTTCAAACTAAACATTTATTAATTTTTTAACATCTCATCTTCAAAAACGAGAGAGCTACCGTCTTTAAAATATTTGTATACTTAATTTGAAAAATTAAAATCACAATTCAAGATTTTAATATTAATATTTAAAAATAATGGTCCAAATACGATTATGTATTTAATTTATTATTCTTAATGATTTGATTCGATAAATCTTCGATTATCATATCTTATTTCACTTTTATTTCGATTCTAATAATGTGATAAAAAAGCCATGTAGATATGGGTCAAACTCAAACTGATATCCAAGCTATTCACAGGGTTATTTATTAAACATGTCCAATATGAAGCCCAAACCCTATTGAAAATAAGATAAACTAGATGGAACAATCATAGATTAATTACACCAAGTGATCCTCAAACAATCATAGTATTGAAGGTTTGAACCAGTTTAGAAATCTAGATCATAACTTGAGGGTGTCTGCTGCAATGACCTAAGAAGCATGTAACATGAACAAATGAGTGAAGTATATCTCTTTACAGTCTCATTCAGGGTCGTGGGAATTTCAGCCTCAAAGCAGATCGCGATAAGCCCGACTCCACGAATTGTATAGCTTCTTCGATCCTCGACTCTTTAACTAATTTATCTACCAATGCAGCCCCATATATTATACGTCGATCTATAGCCTCCTTGCAAATCTCAGTTGCCATTTCAAATTCATTCTTCTTACTAAAGAACGAAAGAACTGTAATGTAAGTAACCCGATCGGGTAGAACACTTTTCTTCAGTTCACCATACCACTTCATCACTTGCTCTAAATTCCCAGCATTACAATACCCTGTAATCAAAGCATTGTAGCTATTAATTCGGGTTTGACTCCTTTGCTCTTCATTTCGTCCCATAACTCAACAGCTTCCGATATCTTTCTCTCATGACCAATCCTCTTAACTTGTATTGTAAGTCCTAGTATCAGGGACAACATTCTTCTTTTCCATCAATTCCCAAATTTCCTCTCCAGCGGTAATTCGACCCCTGGAAAAGAACCCATCAAGAGAGTGTTAAACGTTCTAATATCAGGCTCTAATCCTTTCTTCTCCAATGTATCAATCATTGAGACAGCTGAATCCATAGAACCCATCTCACAATAGGCCTTAATAATTGTGTTATAAGAAATCAAATCCGGCTCGATTCTTATCTTTTCCGGTAACTCTTCTAGGAAATTCCCGACGTTATCGAACTTCTCCGAATGGAGATACGCCGACAAAAGGGCGTTAAGAGAGTTCACCGTACGTTGGCAGTTGATTTCAGGCATTTCATCGAACAGTTTATGCGCATGTTCGGACATGCCAGCTTTCCCGTAAGCATCATGAGGCGGATAACGAAGCCTTCCTGGGAGATATCTTGGTACTTCTTTTGGTGTTGGAGGATGTCATCGATCAACTATAAATGTTTTGCTGACGCGAGGCGTTGAACAGTGACGGAGTAAGCTTTTTTGGAGTAGCTGCGGAATTTGCGGGATTCAAAGATTTCTTGAATCTGTCGGCAAGCTTTTTGAACTTGCGTGGGTCGACTTTGGATTTGGAGGATTTTACGGCGGCGGCGGAGGTGGCGGTGGCATTGGTAGCTGAAGAGATAGAAGTGTTAAAGAGGCCGACCATGCGGCGCATAGATGTGGCTCCCTTTGCTTGGCTCATTTCTTTCTCGAAGGATGCACAAATTTTGGTTCAAAGGTTAGGACTCGGGATTTCAAGTGGCATTAAACACACTTTTTTAGGATAAAGCAACGTTTACTCCCTAAACTTGGTATTGTTTCTCAAATTGGTCCCTAAATATTTTCCATATGAACCCACAAGTTTAACTTCTTCTTTTTTCATTTGTAGTCCTTTTGATTATCAAAGCTTCACTTTTGAGGTTAGATACAAAAATGCCTGTGTCAAGACATGCATGCAGGGGGTTAGAAATTGCTTCTTTTTGCCACTTTCATTGATTACAAAACATAAGATATGCTCATGCATGGCACATTAAAGCCACTTGACATAAAGTACACAACTTTGGCATGCCATGGCATTGCGCATCTTTGCTTGAGTTAGAGCATGATAATCTGTACTTTCAAACTTCCAAGTTGAACCCAACCAAATGCCTCACACATTTTGTACTTTCCAGTCAACAATAGTAACTGCTAACTAACTGCCTAAAGACATGAAAGTAACACTCTCCAAAAATATGAGAGTTCATGTTTAATTTTTTATTCTTTTCATTGTTGCCTCCAACAAGCAAACATAACTGCCAAGATTCTCCCTCTTAAAACGATGCCCTTGTGACAATCATGTTTATATATAACAGTTCCCAGCTATAGTTTTGCTGGTTCTCTCTCCCCCCTCTGCAATTTTTTTTAATATCAGCTTCCATGGATATGGAATTCTTGGGTTCCGAGTTAAATGAACTATCCATGAGGCCTAGCAGAGGAAGACCGGGAAGGAGAAGGCACGGAAATAACGACGACAACTTCGTATCAAAGAACCTCCACGCCGAGCGAAAGAGGAGGAAGAAACTCAGTGATAGACTGTTAGCTCTGCGTTCTCTCGTCCCAATCATCACAAATGCAACTACCCGAAAACTCATATCTCAATTTTTTTTTCAATCTAATAATATCACATTGTTTTAACTTCGTTTCACCATTCGTGTTTGTAGATGAACAAAGCAACCATAATCGAAGATGCAATTAGTTACATCCAAGAGTTGCAGAAAACCTCAGATGATCTCAGTGAGGAGCTACTTGACATGGAAGCATCATCTGAAGAAGGTGGAAAGCAAATTGAAATGGAAGCTGTTGCTGCTGATGAAATGGCGAAATGTGGGATAAAGGAACAAGTTAAGGTAACCAACATTGATGGGAACATGCTTTTGATCAAGATTATCCTACAGAAAAAAAGGGGTTGCTTCACTAAACTGATAGAAACCATGGATTATCTTGGCTTTGAGCTCAGTGAGACCAGTGTCACCACTTTCAAAGGAGCAATGCTTTTTTCATCATGCGTACATGTAAGTTCTGAATTCCGAATTCGATCTCTGGACAACTGATTATTGAAACATGTTGTTTTCTTTCATTGATTTTCAGGGAAAATTTGTGGATGCTCTAATGATTGAACAGACGGAGGAGCTGTTGTTAGAGATGATCAGAAGCATTAAAGGAAACATTTGTTGAAGTTTGATTGATTTATAATATAATCATTAGTGATTCTATTTTAGATATCAACTGATTTTAATTAATCCAAGATGATTAGTATAATACTAATTTATTTCCATAAAAAATAGTTATTAAATCATCATTATTTTTACATCATATTTACAATATGATCTAGAAACCAAATCTCTCTTTCTAAACAATGAAATCTTCACTTCTGGAAATCAAATCCCTCCTTCCTATCAAACTTCTCTATCATAACTTCTGCATTTAACAGCAATAAAGAACATTTAATTATAATCATTATAAGCAAACCCAATTATATCATGAGAATCAATAAACATCATAGAGAACCAAAATCATTAAGTCAAATAAATAAGTGTTGGGATTTTATTTAAGGATCTAATACGATTTAGACATAAAAATTAAGAATACCTTGAGGCATGCAAGAAGGAGGGACTTCAAAGAGAGACTGGGAGAGTTGATTATGAGCAACACCAATATCAAACAAGATAATCCCAGGAGAAGGATCATTGGCAATGATACATCTAACAGGCAACCACAAAAACAACTCTTCCTGTGACAGTCCTTCGAGCCCCACGAGGCCACCGTAACTAAGGTTGGCCGTTACTACACGATCAAAGTACACTCTCCCGTCGAACTCCGCCATGCAAGAACTTTCCAACCGCACTTCTAGACGACCGTCACGATTGAGTCGGTATGACTTAACATTGTCCGGAAAAATACCTACCGGCAACCCTCGGCTCCTAAGGAGATCTTGTATGGTAGTGGTAGTGGCTGTTAAAGGGAGAAGGACGAGAGTAGTGAATACAAAAACAGGTGTTAAGGTTTTCATAGACATTGTTTTGGGAGTAGAATATGAAGAAGTGTGTTGAAGAAGTACATAATTTATTGGTGTGCTGCAGCCTGAAAATTATGAGGTTAAGTTTAACAACTTTTTACTATCCCATAATTATCTACTAGTACTAATTTTTAGTAAATCATTGACTCAAATGCATGTAATTATTTTGAAATTATAGTAATTAATTGGTTGGCGCGTTAATGAACAAAGTGATAAATAAGGAAATAAATCATGCTTAATTAATGGAGAAAATATTTGGTGATACAGGTAAGATGACTTTGAATGATCATAATCACTTAACGAGAAATTATTATATAGGATTATTTATATTAAATTAATAAATGATAATGATCTCTAATAAAAAAATATGATATCAAATTAGAATGTATTTACACTTCATTAAATATTTCAATTAATTGAATATATATTTTTTAATTATTGAAACAACAAAATGTAAATACATTTTTATTTAATATTATATCATAATTTTTTTGACACGTAGGCCAATCAAATCCTTGGACTCAACCCTCCATCTAACTTATAGCCCGTTATGTTTGGGCCATTATTTATATTTTATAAATTATTTTTTCTTATAATGCCCATAATCATAAAAGAAAGGTTAAATTTGTTTTAAGTTCTTATACTATTCACCCATTTGGAATATATCCCTCATACTTTTATTTTTAGAATTTTAATCTCTCTATTTTTCATATTTAGAAATCCAAGCCCAATCGTTAACATCGTTAAATTTATTTTTAAAATTTAGGTTCATTACAATACTGTTTTTATAGTTACACGATTTTCAGGTTAGTATTTTTTATTGTCCAATCAATGAATTTAGTAGAACAATTTTAATGGTGTTAGCAATTGATCTTTTATTTTTAAATTTGAAAAGTAGAGGACTAAATCCAAACATGCAATAAGTGTAAGGGCTTGGATAATATTTTAATCTAAAAGGAAATATATGTGACTTTTTTTCATTAAGGTGAAGGAGAAATGCTTGTATGAAAATCTACGTCTAAGGGTGAAAACCTATGAAAATATTACTATTATATTTTCTAAATTTTCTTATTCGATAATGATCAAGCGAATGTACAAATAATATTTGAATTAATTACATCACATGTATATAAATTACGATCTTTAATTCAAAATAGTTTTTAAACCTTTGAATGTTGTAATTTCATTACCAATCTATGAATCTCATTCTAAATTAGTCCTTAAACTTTTGAATGTTCTAATGTCATCTCTAATCTGCGATTTTCATTATAAAATAGTCCCCAAAGTTTTGAACATTTTAATTTCATCCTAAACTATCTGTTTATGCTAATCAAATCTCTTGTTAATAAAATGTTACGCCAAACTATATTATTATATGTTTGCAAAAAATAGGTTAAACTATGGTTGAAACTAATTACATATTTGGATGAATTTGAAGATGAAATTAGAAGATTCAGAAGTTTGGGGTTAATTTAAAATGAGGTTCATAGCTTGGAGATAAAATTGGAAACTTCAAAATGTTTAGGATTACTTTAAAATTAGTCATGATTTGGGGATGAAATTCAAATATTCAAAAGTTTGAAGACCAATTTAGAATAAGGGTCATAGATGAGTGATATGATACAATTAACTCATAATTTTAAAAAAAAATATATAAACCGATTTGTATAAGGTAATTAAGTCTAAACTATGAATGCTTAATTTGCATTGACAAACAATAGTATTAATATTTTATCTCTGCTTACCAAAGTTTAGGTTCATTTACATCCAAACAAACACGTTGTTTAATGTATGGTCACACAAACTGAAATTATTTAATTATAAATCTAACATTATATTAACTCATTTCAACAAAACTAGTATGTTTTTACGTGGATAAACATTAAAAAAATATTATTTGACTTTTATAATCTTGCAATAAAGGTCAATATCATTTGGTTTTGGCCCCTTTCTTATTGTTAAATTTGGAATTTAGTTTTTATATTTTAATTCGACATGATTTAATTCTTTTTGTCTATAATGTTATTGACTAGTTTAAATAATTAAAATCCATCACGCTACCATAGATTCCTTATTAAAAAAAATACTTTTTTAAGAAAAAGAATGTACATCTATAATTAATCAAATAATTAAAGATGCTAGCTAGTTAGACTAACATATGGGATGATAGAAGTAAAAGATTTTTTAATATATACAATGATTAAATCTCATATTTGAGTATAATAGAAGGAGCAATATCATAATTTGACCGTATACATATCACATACCTAATTTTACAAGGAGCAGTTTAACCTTCTCCTCTTTGTGAGTCACTTGGAAGGTTGTTTTCGGAGGAAAGCTATACGTTGACCCTTAAAAGGATTAGCAGTTAAGTCAGGTATTGTTTGTTTTAAACTGATTTTCAATCTTGTTTTGTTATTATTTTTTATAGGCGGAAATGTATACGAGGCTCTTGTAATTTTAAAAAAATAAATTCAATGTGACCTTTGACTAACATTTTCTAAAATATGTTCATATTCAAATGGACTACTGCAAAAAGTCTTTAATGATTCCTTACCACAAGTTTACGTTATTAATTAGAGTCCATTGCAATTCAAAGTCCTATGATCAATTAAATTGAAATTGACCCATCTGCCAATTGTTTCTCTAAAGTGTAATAATGATATCGTGTTGTGGGGCTTTCCCTACCAGTTTCTTAAATTCAGAGAATGTAAAAGATTAAGCCCCACCCTACAGCTCCACTCATCCAATGCATACACGTGTGAACACATTCAAAACTATATTTCTTTAAAAAAATTGATGAATTCATAATATACGATGATTAATATTTTCATTAAAAAAATGAGTGTTCGACTATAAAATATATTTCATTTAATTACCATTTGAGCAAAGAAAGAAAAATGAAATTTAATATACCATTTGGTTAAAGTTATTGAAAAATTATGGAGCCACCAATGAGAAAGGATCGATTGGGAGTTTCCTGAAACTTACTTAGGCCTCATTTGCACCAAATGGAAATTGAAAAAAGAAATCGAGTAGTGGTATATAATTTACCCATTATCTTCATGATTAAGTGGTAGTGGTAATTGGTATGTAAGATTCAGGATAAAAAAACAGTTGGGCACTTGTATTCTACTATAAAATAGTAAGAAATTACTGATAAAAACTTTTTATAAATTAATAATAATTAAATATATGGTTGAACGAACTTGACTTGCAACCTTACAAAGTAATTATGTATCAAAATTTATGATGAGATTAGTTGACAACGAGTACAACCTTGATGCAATCTCACATTCGTAGATATTCAGATTAATAATAATAATAAAATTAATAGATTTTTAAATATGAGAATAAATCACGAAATTATAACCACTTCTACTAATATTCGGAGAAGAGCAATTCAATACTCGACATGAAACCCATTTTCACAAACTAAAACCTTATATTTGATATTTATTACAATGAAGAATCGGAATATATAAAATATTAAATTCCACGAATATATATAAAGTATATATTAATATTGATGTTTAACCACTTCTACTAAATACTAGTTTAAGTATGTTAAAACACGAGCAGGCATGCTTTAATAATTAGTTAAGTCCCGTTCATACTTTTTAAAATGAGAATAATGATGATTGATGGGATTTAATTAATAAGTCCCGTTAATACTTTTTATTATAAATACTATTTATAATATTTAAATAATTTAAATTAATCGATTAATGGATCAATTATGAATAATTACATAAATAAAAATGTAATGCATCGTTCAAAAATGAAGGAAAGTTTGGCTTTTTGTTTTTATGGTGCGACTTTCACCGACTTTGGGGTTAGACCACACCCAAAGAGACACCGCCATACGTTGAAACCACAAATATGTATGGGGCCCTTTTGATTTTTAGGGTTTTGAAAACTCGTAAACTCAAACGAACCCTAAATCTCTCGAGGTCAACCATGGCCTCGTATCTCTTCCGTTTGTTTATATTCTTTGTTCATATTTGTTAATAGTGTTTTGCTTCTTTACGTCATTTAGTTTGCTTTATTTGTGGGCTCTTTGGCACGTGTTCTGGTTGCCCTACGTGAACGTGAGGCTACAATTCCATCCCGACTATATAAATACACGTATACATATTCATTTGTCCTTTATCCTTGTCATTTTTATACCTCATGGTTATCTCATCATTACATCACTGTATAGTATGTTTCTACGTATACATACGTGTATTGAATTAGTATGTGCACTTGAAAATTGTTGCGAGGAGGAAGATCTCACTACCATGTTTTATCATGATATACATGACAATAGTATCCATTGTAGAAAGCTTACAGACAAAAAATGTAGAAAGCTTGCTTAATAATTTTCTACTAAATATAATTTTATGTAATTATTCATAAAAATAATATCATAATTTTTACAATTTCACTTATAAATTAAATAGTTTATATTAATATGATTCTAAATTATTAATTATTTTTTAATATAACATATCTATTTATCAATAAAATATAGACTCTAAATTTTAAACTTTAAATTATGAATCTTACAATATTATATTCTGATCAAAATTTTTATGTGCTTTCGTATGTTTCGACTAATATTAATTTATATTTATATGTATGATTCGCACGAGTTGTTAATGAGTCAATTAGGAAATAAATTGATGGTTTATCGGTTATTGTCATCTTAAAATAGAACAACTATATGCATTGTCAACTAATAATTTAATGAGGAGTAGCCTCCAACAACTCGGATCGGATCCTTTTGAAAATGGTAATTGGTAAGAGAAGTCATAGAACATGACACGAGCAATAGGGTCCCCATAGGGCAAATGGGGCGTATGAATTAGGGCGAACATTCCTCGAGAAGAGGACGACAAGTGAGATAAATCCAATGGACTTGGCATCAATGGAAAGTGACCTTCATGCCGTGTCCTAACCAGAGATGGTTCAAGATTTTCAACCTCATTATTAACCTATCTAATCTCTACACTCACCTCTTTTCAAAAAGGTTGTAAAAAATCAGCACACAATACTCGAATTTTAATCGGGGATGGAATTTAGATTAAATTATAAAAGGATAAGTTGTATAACTTTTAAGGTTTAATTTTATTGATTTAACAATTAAAAGGACTTAAAGTAATTAAACTGAAAAAATCATATATTGATTTAATGGCAATAATTTTAAAAGTACCAATGACTTAAAAAAATTAAACCATCCCTCTCACCTACAACCTGTCTGACTCGTACTTTGACTCTGGTCTGAACACGCCAAACACGGTCCCACGTATGTCCTCGCACGCGCTCGAGCCTTCTGGGCCCTACGTTGACTCGAGCTTTCCTCGTCATTAGTCATATTATCCTATATAAGCATGACGTATAATTCTTTCCCCTCTTCGATTTAATTGATCTTTTAGTCATTAAGTTTGTTTTTTTAATATTCTAAATTAAGTGTTAAGTATATATAATGGATGGACTAATCATGTAGATGTATCTCTAAAAGTTTTAAACTATTATATAATTTAAATATTTTTATTAATAATCTAATTTTATAATTTTATATTTTTAAATGTTTAATACAATTTTATAACAATACTACAATAGGCATCCCTAACATAAGTAATATATTGACCGACTGAAATTAACAATTGCCCTGTAGCATTTGGTCAATATTAGGCCGCAAATTATATAATATATTACTATATATTTTTCAATATGTTTGATTAGGTACGAGTATTAGATCGAATTGAGTTAAGTCAAATAAAAAATTTTGAGTTAATTGAATTGCCGAGTCTCATTTTATAATGGTGCAATTGATTTCAATTTAAACAACTTTTGTAATCATTTATATCATGCAGAGCTAAGAAACTCAACTCGAACTTGAAAATCAATCTACTGATAACTAAAAATTTTAAGTTTTATAAGTTACTTGAGTCTTATTTATAACTCAAACTTTATTAAAATTTTTAGTCAAATTTATGAAATTACGAGTCAAATTGAATCGAGTTTTACTCACCCTACCTTTGGTAACTAATATTACAAAATAGTTAAAATTTTCAATAAAAAAATTAAAATGAGGGTTAGTTTTCACTAAAAATACATCCAATCAATCATTAATTTGTTTATCTTTATTGTAATTTTAATAAAAATTATAATAATTGGACCAATTACTTGTAATGTTAGTTTATATTCTTAAAAATTATTTTTATTTAATATTTATTTTTTATTTTTTTTTAAAAAACTTACATTTATAAAAAATAAAAATAAGCGTTTACTTTAATTAGTTGACTTTCCATATTTTGACAAAATTTCTTTATTTGAAAAGAAAAACGATATTAGGCGGCGTTTTAGTTGTTTGGCAATCCGCCTTTGTGAAATCAATTCCATTTTTGCTTTTCTATTCTTCATAAAACACTTCTATTTATAGATTTATTTTTTAATAATAAAGTATAAAAATATGAAAATTATTGAAAACAAGAAAGAACGAAGCAATAAGATGAAAGAAGAAAAAGGATACGAGAATAAGGAGAAATAATTATATTTTATCTCAATATGAGTTGGGTACAATATTTTCTTTGAATTCTATATTTATAAGTATAATGAATAGATATCATATAGAAATTTAAACCTAACGGATATTATTTATTTATTTATTTTGATTAATCTGAGTAAGTACATGGTAGTATATGTTCAAAAATAATTGTTAACTATTTGAAATTGAACGTTCGTACTCCTAACATTTATAGTGCTCGAACCCAGAACCTCAAAGAATAACAACAATTCATTTACCACCGAAATCACTGGTGTTCGAGCACCTAACGAATATTAAAATGCTAATAATAAAATTTATCAAAAAATATTTTATAAATAAAATAGACATCCACATAATTAAATATTCACAACAAAAATCATATTTATATTGTAATTTTTAAATTCCTACTTATTTTACTATTATATACATTCAGTCTCTAATATTTTATGACATGCTTTCACTTTAATCCATCAATTTGCATGGGTCAAATATTAAGTTTTTAGTTAATCTGATTCAATCCGAGAAAGTTATTCTCTCCACATGAATTTCACTCGAATTTAGAGAGATCTTATTCAAACTGAAATCTAAATTAAATTTTATAATAAAAAGTTGTATAAGATACTCAACAAAAAATAATATCAATTTATTTTTACTTAATAAAATATATACGTAATTGGAAAAAATTATAGAGAAAAAGTAATACAGTAATTATCACTAAATATATATAAGAAATTATACTTTTACCTAAGGTCAGGTCGAAGACTTTTTATCCTAAATCATATTGATTCGATCTCACCCTTTACAAAACTCAACTTGAATCATAACTGAAAAAATTGATCTAATCGATTTTAAACGATTCGTAACCTATCAAATTCAAGTGAGATTATCATCCCTAATAAATAAGATCATACAAAGAGATAATTCAAAAAATTAACCAAATAATCCAAGAAAATAATGATATAAATAATACTAACGTCGACGGTGAAGAATAAGCACTATCAATGTTGACAAAAGTTTCACCATTAAAAATACTAAAATATATAATAATATTTTAATAGCTGATTGATATTATAACAATTTAGACATGAAATATTTAAAGTGATTGAAAATATATATTGAGATAAAAAAATTAACTTAAGAATTTAAAATTGGAATAAATCATCAAAAGAATTAAATAACTACTAATAGGAAGAACGATGATAATTCAACCTTAAAATGAGACAAAATTTACAAGTAAAAGACCAAAATATATATCAAAAGAATCCACATTTTCATATTCTTACATATATTCATATTCATAAAATATAGAGAAAGAAAATGGTGTAAAACATTCATATTCATATAAAATTCTTTTTGGGTCAAATTCCGGTCCATAAATTTCAGGAATAGGAAAACATTTTTTCCCCTTCAATTTTATATTCAACCAAGTATCAATCATCCGATTAAACAAATCATTAAGTCAAAAACACTGACGTGACCGTCAGATTAAATTAACAATATCTTCATCGATCAACCTACACAAAAAAACTTTTATATATACAAAAAAGTTGTCACAATCTGTGCTAATATGCTATTATTTTATTTTAATTTATTAAATATTTTTAATTAAAATAAATTCTAGATGCATATATAAAAATATTCTCTCCTATTTGTCCATATATGTAAATTACATACATCTCTACTACACCTGTAATTCCATTACATATATAAATAAGGTTCATCTCTCAAGGAAAGAGCTCCCACCCAAGCCAAGAACAATTCCGACCATGGCAGAAGAATTTTATGCAGGGATTTGTGGAGAAACATGGTGGAATCCGACGAAAACCATGTTTACAGGGTGTAATTCTCCGCTGTATACGACGGGGATTGCTGACATCGGAAGCTTCGGATGGGGCACCGATCCGGCGGAAATCAAGGCGAGGACTAACGTTTCAGTTTTCCATCATAAGCCAGATCAGCTGCAGGCGGGTTCTGATCAAAATGGCGGCAGCAGTGTTTTGATTGATTCCACCTTACAAATGATGGGTTTCGGCTTTTCATCGTCCACAACATCGGACTGGAACAAGTATTTGCTGTAAGTTAAATTGATTTGATGTCTTTATGATGATTAAACATGAACCTGTCGTTGCTGAAGTTGAATTCTTATTTTATCGGTTCAAGGTTGAGTTCCGGTGAAGATTCTTCCATTAACAGTTGCCAAGGATTATCAGCCTCATATGACTGTCCATCAACACTGATACAAACTCTGTTCGAAGCTGATCCTCAAGTACCCCAACAACAATCACTTTTCAACAACCAGTCCATCAACTACATGTCTTCCACCGCTGCTTACGGCGCTCCTTCCATAAGGTCGCCGCCATTGACAAAGCAGCCTGCAGGTAACTTGCAGTTTTCCAACAACACATCCTTTTGGAACCCCTCTGCAACTGCGACCGGCATAAACGACGTTAAACCCGGCTTTTCACCGTCGCCGCCTTTCGAAGAGAAACCTAATTGCCTCAGCCTGACGACAGAGGTAAACCTAATTACCCTCTGCAACTTCTTACTGTTCATGCATTATATACATAGCTAGGGTTATCCTGGATGACATGAATCGGTATTTACAGACTAACATCGACGGAATTCGGAATCGGAAAAATTCGGGGTCAGTGATGAAGAAAGGAAGTTGTACCGAAACTCCATTGAAAAGACCAAGACTTGAAACCCCATCGCCATTACCAACTTTTAAGGTATCTAATGTATACATTTGTCCTAGTTTAAAGCTAGTGATAACTTATTCAAAGAAATTGATAATAATATACAGTAATATTTCATGATCAGGTTAGGAAAGAGAAGCTAGGGGACCGAATCACTGCCCTCCAGCAATTGGTTTCACCTTTCGGAAAGGTAAATTTTTGGAATTTTTTTGACCTTTTGATATATTCAAAGTGTACATAATTGAAAGCTTTACTTTCATATATCTTCACTTGGGTTAATCTGAATTCTTTTACCCTTTTTTATTGCAGACGGATACTGCATCAGTTCTACATGAAGCCATTGAATACATCAAAATACTCCATGATCAAGTCAATGTATATTCCTCTACCTACTTCTCACAATTAATACGATCCGAGTTGTTACACGCATGATGTATTTTTTACGTGACTTCAGGTATTAACTACTCCATATATGAAACAAGCAGCAGCTCCCATGCAACAACAGGTATTAGAAAAAGAAAAAGACTTTGATGATAAATGCTCATCTTTTTTCAGGCTGCTAATAAGTACCAATTAATACTAATACAATTAATAATGAACTAATTGTGTTTATTGTCTTGCAGAGTAGTGATAAGTTGAAAGACTTAAGAAGCCGGGGGCTTTGTTTAGTGCCTGTCTCGAGCACATTCCCAGTCGCCACTGAGACCCCGGTTGATTTTTGGACTCCGACGTTCGGTGCAACTTTCGGGTAAATTATCTCCGGACATAAAAAAAAGAGAAAGGGCAGAAACAAAAGCAGATGATCAGCTGGTACAAAGCAGGAATGATAGAATGTATGGCTAGCAAATGATTAGGAACCCAACTCTTCAAAAAAAAAAAAAAGGAAGATAACCATAGGTTTTTTTCTTTCAATAATCCAAGTTTTTTTACATGTTAATTATAGTTTGGAGGTGATTAGCAACAGGAACAAGTGCTAAATTCAGCGAAAAACAACATGAACTTTAAGTTTTTAGTAGTATATTGAATTATACATGTTGTTGTTTGTTGACGTTAGTAGCTGAAGTTAGCAGAAGTGGGGGTTAGAAGAGCCTCTTTTGTTCCTGTTGAATACATGTATCTGTAGGTCACCCATTTTGTCATCATCAACAATGAATAAAGCGCTTATTATTATATTTGAATTTTGTTGGTATTGAAGACTAGGAATGAGTGGAGCTCGTTTCATGGGGACTTCAGCTTTTTGTTTTCTTTTTATTATAAATATTGTTTGGAATGAAGTAGTGGGCAGACGGCGCCCCACTGTTCCTACTTTTAGGGCTTCTCCATTATTTTCGTTTTTTTTTAATATTGAACAAATACAATATAATATATTTTTAAAGATAATTCTTAATCATTTGAAATTAAATGTTTAAATCTTCGACAATCATGATGCTCAAATTCAAGATCTCAAGAAATAAACAACAATTCTTTTATCACCATAATCGTCAAATTTATATGGATTTCTTTATTTTGATGAAAAAAAAGAAAGAAATTAAATTAATCGAGTTGATGAAGATTATTTATCATTATCGATATATTCATAATATATATTTTACTTTAATTTTTGATAAATTTATACACTTTATAAATAATATTGTGCAAACTTAAATAACTTAAAAAAACATACAACATATTATCTGTGGAATCACTTCTTAAGTTTAATTATTGTTTTTTTAATATTATTTACTATAGCTCCACTGTTTTTGAGCATAATATATCGTCAGCTGTAATGTGGAATTTCATCAACTTTGTCCCTACATCAATGGAAGAAAGCATAAGGCAATAGTAACGATACTCTATTGAGAATTTCATTTTTAAAATATGAAATATTGCTGTAAATGTGATTTCCTAATTGCATAAGTGACTGCTTTGTTTTGATTATCAAATTAAGTTAAATAGTTATTGTACGTAAAATCATGCATCCTGGTTTAATCAGATAAATCAATTGATATTAGAGTTAATAAAGACATGGGGCAAACTGGAGAATTTCTTTTTCCATCATATTCAGTTAAGCTGAATAAAATATGTAGTATTCAATATTAGAGAATATAAATATAAAAAGAAATTTCTGTGTTTTTAGGGCAATTTTGTAAAACTTTCAATTTCATTAACTTTGTCTGACTAATTAGAAATGACATATCACAAGATTTTATGTCGCAATATAATTGAAAATTTAAAGTATGAAATGTCAAAGGATATGAAATTTAATTGTTAATAAAAAGATATAAAAGAAATTTTATTTTATATAATTTATTTTTTTTTTAAAATACGATCATTTAACGTTCCTCTCAATCTGTCAAATCCACTAGAAAGCAATTTCCCCTCAAATTGTTGCTTTCAACTGGTTCCTATATCTAATCACAAGATATGATGCAAGTTTATTAGGCAATGTCAAAGAGAAATAATAATAAATATCATAGAGAACATATTAAAGGGGTTATTATAACATGTGAAGCATCCAAGGAAGCTTAATATTGAAGAATAGCATGTGACAAGTGACTAATCATGAAATTCTCATTTTTTAATTAAAAAGCAAATAATTACATAAAAAAATCTAAACTATTAATCTAAAACACAAAGACAGGAACATCAAATAGAATACCGTAATTGCGTTTGGTTCACGGAATATAAGATTATCAGTGGGAATAAAAGATTACCAGTGAGAATAAAAGATTACCAGGGAATATGATTACTAGAATGTTGTATTTTGTGTTTGGTTGGTTTAGCAAGAATGTAAGATTATCGTGTTTGGTTAAAGGAATAAAAGATTATTGGAATGTATATTTGACCAAATTGTCCTTATTATATATTTGTTTTTTAACAAGTTGGAAAATATTTATATATTTTCTTTAAAAAATTTAAATTCATAAATTTTATATAATTTTTTTACAAAATTGAAAATATAAAAAGGTTTAATAAAAGGGTAAAGTTTTATTTTAACCCCTGAATTTCATATAAAATTTTAATTATAGATTTTTTTTGTAAATCTAAAATAGTTTAAGGATAAATTTGTAATTTAACTTTCGTAGAAGTTTTATTATTCAATGACATAATAAGGATATTTTTTAAAGAAAATTTGTTTAAGGGCATTTTAGTCCAAAACGCCGGTAATCCAACAATACATAAGGAAATAGAGGTAATGACATTCCCGGTAATATACCCCAAAAATCCACTATTGATAATGTAAGATTACCGGGAATGATATTCCCGACCAACCAAACGGGGAATGTGGATTCCATTCCCATGGGAATCTCACATTCCCCCAACCAAACACACCCTAAAGGAAAAAGCATCAAAGCATCATATTTTAGATGTTAATAAAGTATATGATGATGATCAATATATCACCTTTTTCTTATTTGCCTAATCAAAGGAAAACTCGAACATTTGTTATCTTCTTTTACAAGTTTCTTCTTCCCCCATTGAAAAAGGGTCTTTGGATCTCTTGCGGGACAAACATGAGGTTGGGTTCTCAGACTCTTTGATGGTGAAGTAAACAAGGAGTGTTTTGTAATGGAGACAGGCATGCAAGTAGGATGTTAGGACCTTTCAGGTCTTGTGCTTTCCATTGGTATATCAATATTAGTAGTAAAAACTCGAATTCCCATACTTTTTACGTATAATAATTGAGACAACAAATTCATTGATTTACTCTTGTAGAAACAATGTAAGTTTGTGATAATAAATCTATCCTCAACCATGTACATATTTTATTCTATGGAGACGGAAATCTCCAACAAGTAAAATGATAAAAACAAACAAACCCATGTTTATAAGCTGAAATATAGTAATTTGATGAGTGAAATATCATCAGGCTGTTCCCTTGAGCTTCTTTGCAAAGCCAGCAAAATACTTCCCTTGGTGGAAAGCCCGTGCTAGCTCGAGCTCAGTTGGCTGTCTCGAGCCATCCCCGGCCAAAGTTCCGGTACCGTAAGGGCTTCCACCCTTCACTTGCTCCATCTCGAACATACCAGCACCAAATGTATAACCAATGGGCACAAAAATCATACCATGGTGAACAAGTTGTGATTGCAGTTAGGCTGCCCAAAAAAAATATGTTCCCATTTAGAAATGATTAAAAAGTAGCTAATTTTGATACATTTGAAATAGTCAAAATGGTGCAAATTTACTCGCGCAGTAGTCTCTTGTCCACTTCCTTGGGCGCTGGTGCTGTAGAAAAGCCCAGCTGGTTTGCCGGCAAGGGCTTGTGTTCTCCATTGACCACCAGTTGAGTCCAAGAAGGCTTTGAACTGGGCAGGCTTCATACCGAATCTAGTCGGAAAGCCAAAAAGCACACCATCGGCCTCAGCGAGCTCGTCTGGCGTAATGATGGGGGCATCGGTCTTTGGTGGTGCATGCATTTTTCCGAGAACTTCCTCTGGTAGTGTCTCCCGTACCTGTCATAGTGCCCAATTGCCAATATTAGGTTCAACACTTATATAAGATAGCCCACATTATACTTGCCATTGTAAAGTTTCCAATAAATTATTAAAATGACTGATTCAAACTGGAAACTTAGAGAAGATAATCGAACCTGCCAAATTTTGGCTTCTACTCCCTCGACAGAGTCGGCTCCTTTCTTAATCTCTTGGGCCAATTTCTCAACATGTCCATACAAGGAATAATAACTGTAATAATAGCCTTTTAGTAAACTTTTGATTGATAATGAACAGTTTTCCATATAAAAGATACGAGAAGGTATAAACTAAACCATCAATGCAAACAAATTAAGAACTCAATAGCTAAAAAACAATCCCCAGAACCCAAATTAGATGATTCATTAGGGAACAACAACAAGAACGAAACTTGATGAGTTTGATAGCTAAATGCAAGAAGAAGAAAAAACAGAGCATGAGCAGAAACGTAGCAACAGATACAGATTCCATTTTGGATTCAAAACAGATAAAAAAAACAAGACTTGAATTCTTACACAATGTAGACTTTGGCAACCATTTTGTCTCTCGGGTAGCTCTCTTTTCTTTGGGTTAATAGGAATGGTGTTTTAAGCAGATGTGTAGAGAACAAGCGAAGGAAGCCCCTGTATTTATAATGACGTTCTACGAAAAGATATTTTGGTATTTTCTTTTGTCAAGGCCTCTTTTTAGAAAAATTCATAGGAAATTGGTTTAAATAATATTATAAATCATAAAGATATAATTACAAATATGAACATTATTTTATGTCAATAACAAGGAATCTTCTACTATTTTATAAACAAGATTTCAATTTTATTTTCTAAAAATTTAGATCCATAATAACTATTAGAGTTGTGGACAGACACAATTTCTTCTTCTTCTTCTTCATTTCTTTAAGATAAGCTTGCTATTATTACCCAGGAAGCAGCCAAACGTTCTGCTACACACATATATAATCAAAGGCCTAAATGCCCTAAGCTATACAAAGCAGTTGATTAACTGCATCCCTCCTAATTTCCTTACCCTGTACTTTCACCCTTACAACCTCTTTAATACATTCAATAATCCCACCTGTACATCTATCGGTTCCTCTAAAAAATCTATAGTTTCTTTCTTCCCATATGCTATACACGTATGCACACCAAGCCACTTTTAGAATATATACAATTAACGATTTCCTTTTCAAACAATTAACTGCCCAGTCTAGCTCTTCGCTCCAGCTTCTAACAGGCCTGTGAATCCTGCAAAGTCGAAGAACCTTTTCCCAGATCACCTCGGAGAAAGAACACGCAAAGAAAATGTGGTTTCTCGACTATTGAGCTCCACCAGAAAGCTTGCAAATACCATCAACCGTCATTCCCATACGCGCAGTGGGCAGCCTATCAAGGATTGCCATCCAGGTGATCACAGCATGCTTTGGAACATTCACAGAGAACCAAAGCTCCCTATGCCAGACAACCTTGTCCCTTATTTCCTCCCATAACCCCCTTGGTCTCCAATCAGTGCAACCAACAATAAGAGATCGAGCTTCATCTCTTCTCTTCAAAACTTTCCTCAAGTCCCAGCTAAAACTAGGCTTGCACTCTATATGCCAAATATCAACACCCTTAACAACATACCTGGGCACCCAAGCAGACCACAATGAATCCTCATGTAACACCTCCAACTCGTACTCGATCCGGATACGAGTCCGAGATGTCACATTGACTTTTCAAAACAATATAATTATA